CTGCAATTGAAAATAAACAAAATTAGGGGGTTAATTCATGAAATATAAAAAGTGTAAACGATGACCAAATTGAATAAATCGACAATCCAAGGGCCAGATTGCATACAGTGACCAAAATGAATTGCGCTTCAAAGTATGGGGGATGGCGGAAAGAATTAAACTATCTCTTATTTGCACAATGGTTCCTGCTATATATATATATCAATAGCCGGAAGGGATGAACGACCACCGCCGGACGCCGACCACCGCTGCTGCCAGCCGCCACGAGCGGCTGCCGTTAAAACCCGAAACACCCAAAACACTCCTCTCCACCCCGTAAATCCAAAACCGAAGCCAAAATTCCACAAAGTATCCCCTAAACGCGTAGATCTACACCCAAAGATCTGATTTTTACCTTTGACGGCGTCTTCTCGGCTTCCCGGAGGCTCTTCGGTCTCTTTGTGCTTTTATTTTGCTCGACTATTTTGAGATGTTATGTGGTTATGGTAGGATTTCTTTGGTTTTGGTTGTCGTTGTTTTGGTTGTTTTGGAAAGTGTTTGGTTGATGGTAGATGGTTTTTGTGTTCTCTGTGTTTTTGACGTTGGCTACAGTAGGCTATCGGTTCGTTCTCGGTTTACTGTGGCTATGGCTTTCGATATTCTGGCAGTGTTTTGGTACTGTTTTTTGTGGTTTCTGTTCTGGGTTTCTTCGATTTACTGTTGATGGATATTGTTGTGTTGATGGTCACTGTGGTTTTCTGTGTGGTTTTTCTGTTTGTATATCTCTGATGATACTTCTCGGGGTTCTCCGTTCTCTCCTTTGTGTTGTTGGTCGTGGGGTTTTATAACCCCTACCGGCCGTTGTGAATCTCGATGATCTCGGGATCGTGGTTCTTGGTCGACCGAGATTTCCGTGCATGTTACATCGGTCGCCTCGGGAAGGTTCAGTTCCGTTGGTGCGGTCGGAAAACGCGCTGGCCGTTGGTTTGCTCCCTTGCGGCGCCGTTTACTGAGACTGGATGTGAAACCCTAACTGACTTTGGCTATTGGTCACGGGTTGGATCAGGCTCACTTTGGACCGTCTGGACCTATGGCATCATACTCTTGGACTCAGACCTGAATCGAAAAAAAAAATGAAATAAAAATAATAAATAACAAATAAAATAGAATTTTTTTTGAAAAGTTAAATTTTATTTATGATTTAAAAAAAATGTTTTCTAAAACCATATGACATAATATATTTTCAAAAAATATTCTAAAACTATATAATATATATGTTTTCAAATAATTATATATCATATTTATTTTCAAAACGTTTTAAAAACTATATAATATATATTTTTAAAAAGTGTTTTAAAATCTATATATTATATTTATTTTTAAAATATTTTAAAAACTATATAATATATATATTTTTAAAAATGTTTTAAAATTATATATTATATTTATTTTCAAAATATTTTAAAAACTATATAATATATATATTTTTAAAAATATTTTAAAAACTATATATTATATTTATTTTTAAAATGTTTAAAACATAAAAAAAACTATATACATATATATTTTCAACAACCAATTGCAAACTATATAATATATAGATATATATAAAAAAATAAAAAAAATAAACGAAAATAAGTGTCTACATAAATATTTCAACAAGAAGAAGAAATAAGCCCTCCTTATTTTTTCTGCCAATAGAGACTTTAAAAAGAAGCGGCAAACGCCGACTCAAGGGCTGTTTTGGTCCTGCTGTCAATGTAACGGCTCTTTTTACTTTTAATCATTATTATTATTATTATTCATTTATTGTTTCATTTATTATTATTTTTTACTATTAATTTGACTTTTTAAATCTTAATGTTTTAAGGATAAAATTTACTAAGATTATAATTTGTCCAAATTTTAATTTAGATTTATTTTCCACGATATATAACTGTATTTGCATAGTTTATATATTAATTGTTCAATAGTAATTAATAATTTACTATTATTTCAAGTATTTTTTAAATTCATAATATAATAAGTTAAATTGTACGAATAAGTTATATTAGTAATTAAAATGATAATTGTTATTCTTAGAGGTTTCGGATTCGAGCATATTGTATATCAGGATTTTGAGTATTCATCGTCAAATAAGTTGAGAATTTTTCGAATAAATATTACCTTATAATTACCTTTAGATTAATCATATATATATGTGTGTGCGAGAGAAAGAAAATCAAAGATTAAGATTAACAATAGAAAATAATAAATTCACTGAAAAAATAAAAAAATAATATTAACTTTTGATTTCTCCTCGTCTAATGATTCTAAAAGGATGTAAAACTAAAAGGCTTACACTAGGTTTGGATCCTAACTATATATATATATATAAATGGAGGACGTTGGCCTGCTTAACGTGCCAAGTCAACAAGAATTAATGAAGTCGGTCAACGACGAAAAATGTTAATCAAAGGTTCACATTGAAAAAATAATAATACGTTGACCACAGTAATTTTTTTAAAAAGTAATGTGACTTCGCGTACCATTTTACCTATTTTATTTTATTTTAATAGATCCAATGTTTTGAAATATAAATGTTATCGTATGAAAAGAAAACACGAGATACCGAGGGGGATGCATGAATGTCATGAGGAAACGGCACTAATTAAAGACGAAATTGCCAACCTACTTCCACAAAGGAATTCGTTACAACCCACTCAGTCCGTTGAAAGTCAACAGATATTACTTTTAAACAAACAGGGTAAACTGCAAATTTAGTCCCTACGTATTACTTTTATTCTGCTTTGTTCATCTAACTACTTTTTGTTTCATAATCATATCTAGCGTTCTGTTTTGGTTTCATTTCGGTCACCCATCATTAAAATATTAGTAGTGATGTTAAGATAATGTCATGTCATCATTTAAAAAGAATAAAAAAGTCATGTTAGTAGTTCTGTTAATTTTTTAACGATAAGTGACCAAAACGAAATCAAACTTAAAAAGTTATGTATGGTTTAAGAAAATAGTTGGGTGACTAAAACGGAACAAAAGTAATAATTGAGTACTGAACATGTAATTTACTTGAAATACACCAATAAATTTAGGGTAAACTATACATTTAATACCTAAACTATCAATTTTAAACCATTTTAGTAACTAAACTTTCAATTTTTCAAAACTATACCTAACGTTTAGTTTTTATTTTAGTTTAGTACCATGTTGTTAAAAACTTAATACGTTTAGTACCTAAACTATCAGTTTTGGTCCATTTTAATACCTTAACTTTCAATATTTTTCAAAACTTAATGTAAAATTTTGGATGGGTACAAAATTAAAATAAAAACTTAAATTTTTAACAATGGGGTACTAAAATGAAACAAACGGCTAAATTTTAGGTATGCTTTTGATTTTTTTTTAAATAAGGTTCTAAAATAAATGAAAACTAGTAGTTTAGATGCTAAAGACGTAATTTACCCATAATTTTACTAACAAATTATAATAAAAATATTTGAAATGTTGTTTTCAAATCTTTTGCGGCCAAAATAGAAATACGCCAATATTTTACCCACTAGCTTCTTGAGCCGTGTTCAATTAATTTCTATAAGGTTAAAAATATTTTCGATTACGAATCGAACGATTTTAGTTATTAATAGAATTATTGTTATTTTTAAAAATTTTGAATTTAAGAATCGTATGTACAAAATATAAGTGTTCATTATTAAATAGTAAAGAGTTTTTGAACTGATCTTATTTTATATTCACGTCAGATTTATCAAAATGAAATATATTCATGATTCTAACTGTGAAATAATAATTAGTATGTATTTACGAGCAAATATAATTGGTTTGTTGGTGAAAATGTTTATATTTGTTCCCTCATATTTCCTTCGGTCGTAAGCAAGGACAGAGTCACCATATGTCCCGGGGGCATTGCCACCCCCATTTTTTTTTATTATTAAAAAATTATATGGTAAAATGTTAAATTAGGGTTCTAAATTTTAATTTATTTTGATTTTATCTTTTCGTTTTCTATGGTTAATTATACTTTGTCCCCTCCCTATTTCCTATGATTAATTATATTTACTCTCCTTAAATTGAAATCTTGGCTCCGTCTAGAAGCGCTCCTCTTCTTTCTTGTAAAATGATCTTTTCTTTTTATAATTGAAGTAGGTAAGGGAGTGAGTCAGGCCCTTAGCTCTCTAAATTGTTGTTTAATGATAATTTTGGTTTTTAATAGTTTAAAAGTTTATAAAATTAAGTTTTAATTTTAAAAAAATTAAAATTAATAAATGAATTAATTTCATTATCTAATTTCAATTTCGTCCCTAATCTCAATAAGGGAAATTATAGTGAATAACAAAATGATCACGATAAATATTGGATTAAAATGTGTTTATAATTACATATATGATTATTAGAGATTGTGATTTAAGTTATATTTGGATCAAAATGAAAAGTTCGCACTCTCAATAAATTCGTGTGTTCACATCTCAAAGATTTAGGACCATAGTACATTTTAGGGTAAACTATGTATTTAATACTTAAATTATCAGTTTTGGTCAGTTTTAGTATTTAAACTTTCAGATTTTTCAAAACTTAATGTTAAATTTTGAATGGGTACTAAAATAAAACAAAAATTAAACTTTAAGTATGGTTTTGAAAGTTAAGGTATTAAAATGGACCAAAAGTGGTAGTTTAAGTACTAAATACATAATTAACCCAAAATTTTATTTGCCCCTATTTGCACTTTTTCTCATCAAGATTTTTATTTTATTTTTATTTTTCATAAATCGTATCAATAGGAAACTTGTCATTTTATTTGGAGTAATCAACAATTATGCCTTCAAAGTTTATTCAATATATTATGATGATCAATCTTGGAAGGCACCTTTGATAGATCTTTGTTTCGTCCCACACTGGCAAAGATCTTTCTAATATACTCAATAAATCATTATTTAAATTAATAAAACCAACCCAATCGGTGAAATAATCAAAGATTATAATAAATCATCAAATAAACAATACAAAAAAGGTAAAAATATGTTAATTAACAATTCTATTATTTTACACGTTTTATCAGGTTACATGCCCTGGGATTTTGTCTTGGATTATATAATATAAAAGCAAAATAAATAAATTAAAAATTAAAAATAGACCGTATCTCCTTCCAACTTATTACAAAGAGATTTGTTTCCTTGGTGCATCTCTTCCATGGGGACTTTTCTCCTCTCTAGGAAGAAGCCTTGGAAACATCCTTACTTGACCTATTGTACTTCATATGACTATTTACTAGTTGACCGGCTGAAATTGCAGACATGAGCGACAACTCCCCCGCAAGGACGGCACCGGCTACTACGGTTGCCAGTGTCCTCGAATTCGCTCCGGGCATCTCTTTGCTCGCACCTTTCACTCCGAGTAAATTCAAACAGGCTGACTGAGATGCAAGTTGAGTTCCACCACCAACAGTGCCAACCTAAAGGATGAATCATGGGGGAATAGAGATGATTAGGCACTAACTCAATCAATAACCCGGATAATGTTTTGGTAATTTGAATTCTTGTGTTTCGATAATCAGACACGATTGGTTACCTCGATAGAAGGCATTGTGACAGAGACGTGAAGGTCCTTGCCGGCGTTAACAGCTTCCATCATGGTGATGCAATGAGAGCTCTCGATGTTTTGAGCCGGATCTTGGCCAGTAGCTATGTAGACTGCAGACACAATGTTACTGGCATGAGCGTTGAATCCACCCAGAGCTCCAGCCATGGCTGAGCCAGTAAGGTTCTTAAGCATGTTAAGCTCCACGAGAGACTCCACACTTGTCTTCAAGACCTTCCTCACCACATCACCTGGAATGATGGCTTCGCAGACAACAGATTTGCCTCGTCCTTCGATCCAATTAACCGCAGCTGGTTTTTTGTCTGAACAAAATTTCCTACATGAACAAATTCATACATTCAGTAATCGAAGTCGAGCGGTAAATAGATATATAACATAAATATTGCAAGTCTATGCAAAAAAAAAACTCACCAGAGATGCCAAGGACATCCATGTCAGGGAAATCGGTTTGAAGGAAATCCAAAACATTTTGGACTCCCTTGGAAACCATGTTCATCCCCATGGCATCACCGGTACTGCAAGTGAATCTCATATACAGATTTTTCCCTGCAATTGCACACTTGATACCTTGAAGCCTACCAAATCTACTGGATCTGCAACCACCAAAAGAATCCAAAACTTTCAATAAGCCATTACAGATATTAGCTTGAATTGTAAATCAATCGATCCGGAATTCAATAAAGGTCGAAACGAACCTGTTGAAAACAACAGATAAGGTCTCGAAGTTATCGGGATCCTCCAAATACAACTTCAAATCAGCTGCCCTTTTCGCTGTACCGAACCGTACAACCGGGGCTCTAGTCATTCCATCTTTCAACAGAACACAAGTAGCTCCACCGGACAAATGAATAGCCTTGCAGCCCCTATTAGTGCTGGCCACCAAGCATCCTTCAGTGGTTGCCATAGGAACAGAGAACTCTCTTCCATTAAGCAACAGAGGGCCAGCGATTCCCACGGGAATCTGCACGTACCCGACCGGCATCTCGCAACACTGCCCTAAAACCGACTCGTAATCGAACCCCTCCAAGGGCAATCCAGACAACGACTTCCCGGTTAATCTCTGCAACGCTTCACGCCTGATTGCAGCCGCTCTCTTGCAATCACCTAGTTTCGATTCCAACGAATAAGAAGGGGTAGTTCCCGCCACTACGGATTTAATTATCTCCTCGTCTTCCTCCATTAAAACTGTCACAGGCTTTTCATCGAACACTTTCTGGGCAGTTACGATGGTTGCCTGAGGAGCCAGCGGAGGCAGCGAGCAATCTAGAGCTTGTCCACAAGGGACTTTGCGGGCATCTTCTTTACAAAGAAAAAATTCATTTTCCTCTTCCTCGTCCTCGGAAATCCAAACGTCGGGGGACGGTCGGAAAACCAAAGACTGAACAAAGTCAATCCCGAAGAACCCCAAAAGGTAAATGAACGATGCTACAAAGGCGATAATCGCGACGATCTCGGAGAAGGTGACGACGTGGAGAGGCGTGGAGGTACGGATCTTTTCACGCCAACGTGAAAGAAGGAAGTAAACCAGCGAGAAGAAAAGGGTAAAGAAAGCAGCATTCGTCAGGTGCAAAGGAAGCGGCAATGCATCGGAGGCTTTAGTGGGATCTTCATCTAAAGAAACAGTCTTCGTCGGCTTCAGAGCTTGAACGGGTTTAGCTGAAGAAAACCGGGTAGCCTTCATTTCGGGTGTTTAAGGCGGCGGAAGCGGTAGTCCGGCGGTGGAGGAAGCGGAGGAGAAAACCGAAACAACTAAGACTCGACTCTCAGTTACTTTCTTTAAACGATTTGAGATGCTGGAAGTTCAGGGGAAGGCGGTATTTATAACATTTTACGGAAGTGCGCGTGGTAAAAGGCGCGTGAAGGGAAGAGGGGACAATGTTCGGCACGTGCCACTGTAATAAAACATTAAGAGAAGAGTCAAAGAAAGAATTTTTAAGGCAGTGTTTGGGGAAATGCTTTGTCTGCACCTTCCCTGGATATTTTTCATTTTCGTTTTGGTCTTTCGGTTTTTCCCCATGCACTGTTATTTTGGTATTTTCTGTCATTTATTTATATTTTATTAATCTTTTAATTATTCCTAAATTTGTATCATTTTTCATTAAGTCTTGAAATATTCATAAATTTAGAACTTCGATGGTAGATTTAGAAATATTTTTTAAGACAGGTACATATATATTAATAACAAAAAAATTTCGTATTGAGATAGATATCTTAAATAAAATGAACAACTAACATAGAAAAATTTAAGTTCTAGGGTGGACACGTACTCACCTGACTTGTACATATATCCGTCACCATAGACCGTAATATGATATTTTTTGTCAAATTATTCTTTACATTTCTTATTAATTTAGAGTAAGTACAAGTTAGTATCTATTTAAAGATAACTCTTAACATTTTGACATTGAATGTTCACACTCTTGTATTTATATATATATTTTTATTATGTATGTGTTTAAAATATTATATATTTATATAAATTTCTATACATTATTATGTTATAAAAAATTCCACGTGTTGGTATTTTTAGTGTTACGTAATAAGATTTGAGCTGCTTACCCTTTGTATGAGAAAAATAATAATATGATATAGACGATAGAATTGAAGGTTTTTTTCCCAAAATAATAAGCAATATGATAACTATTCATCACCATGGCTGAAGGCTTGGACCGCCTGACCAAGTTTTCTTCATAAAAAAATCCATATAAGTTAAACTAGGGTAAATTAAACATTTAATATCTAAACTATCAGTTTTGATCTGTTTTAGTATTGGATCTTTCAGTTTTTTCGAAACCATACCTAATATTTAGTTTTCATTTAATTTTAGTACCCACCGTTAAAAACTTAATGTGTTTGTACCTAAACTATCAGTTTTGGTCTGTTTAGGTACTAAAAGTTTCAATTTTTTCAAATCTTAAATTTTGAATGGGATACTAAAATGAAACAAAAACTAAAGTTTTCAATGGCATGATACTAAAATGAAATAAAAATTTAACTTTAGGTATGGTTTTGAACAAAATAAAAGTTATTATACTAAAACGGACTAAAACTGATAGTTTAGGTACTAAACGTGTAATTTTCTCATTGAACTACTGCTTTCGTATTTATATATATATATGTGCAGGCATGGTCAGGCCAACCAAACTAGAAGATTTTAACTTTATATTATATTTTTTAAATTTCCCAGTTATTAATTTTCATAGCAGAATATTGACTGTTATATTGTCATGTTTTAGACCATTATTACATGCATAAAATTAGGTTAGAGTTCGGGAAAAACATGCATCTTCAATTAAGAACTCCATTAATAAAACTGGGACAGAGTCGAAGACAACAAATTTATTACAAGTGTTCAGTTCTACAGAAATGCAGTTGGAAGAAACAAGTTATTTCCAGACAGGTAGAACTTTGCATTCAATAACAATGCATATGTGTGCATGCAGGCAGGCAGGCAGTAGTTGAACCTGATTATAGAGTTTTAAGGGGTCAACTTAAAGCTTTAAAAAGTTTAGAGGTTTAAATTAAAAAAATAAAACTTGTGAAGGGTTTAGTTTACATTTTCAAAAGAATTGGGGTCTAACTATAATTTTTGTAAATTCGAGAGGCATATTGAGACAACAAGTTTATTTAAGTATTTACTAAAATTCAAATATAATTAAAAAATATAAGCTCAAGTATAAATTTATATAACAGACCTAATTCGAGGTCCTTAGTCGACGTGTGATGCAGTGGCGTATCATGGCCTAGGTAGGCCTAGGTCGTGGCTCATCCTATGCCAAAAATAGGGTAAATTACCTTTTAATAATCCACCGATTATTTAGTTTTTGTTTTGGTCATCTGACTATTATTTATTTTAAATCATACATAACATTACATTTTAGTAACTTGTCTTTAAAAACAAACGATAATGTTAACGTGTCATCGTAAGATAATTTCACATCAAGATTGAAAAATAATTAAAATTGTCATGTTAGTATTATTATTGATTTTTTAACGATATGTGATAAAAACATAACGAAAACGTAACATTAGGTATGATTTTGAAAAAGAATAAAAGTTAAATGACCAAAACATAGATTAAGTAATAGATGAGAAAACAAATAGGTAATTTACCCTAAATAAAAATATGTATGAATTGTGTTAGGAAAGTTAAATACATATCGCTCCCATTAGTATATATAATTTTTTTTAACTTTTAATCTAAATATATATGTAAATATTATTATATTTTTAAATTATTATTAATATTAATATCATTATTATTATTATTATTATCAAACGAGAAAACTTTTCACAAGATAAATTTGAATTTGTCAATCAAGGTAACTTGTGAAATAATATCTATCATCATCAAAATAAACTTTTTTATTTTCAAACCAATAAAAAAATTTATAAAATAAATTATATATTTATTTTCAAAACATGTCATTTATTAGACAAATAAGGATGATAAAGCTAATTGATTTAAGTGGCTGCCTGGCTTTGCCCATTTTCCTTTTATTTGGACTTTGGAATTTGAATGCTCATCATCATCAATCACATGCATAAGGGATGGATAGATGGACAGGCGGGATAATCGTTCTCCTAATAATTTAAAATTATTATATATTTTAAAATTTTAAGTATCTTTTATTGAAATTTTATTTTCGTTCCTCGAAATTTTATAAGTTCGTTATTTTTTAAAATTTTAAAAATTCATCCTAGTAACATAAAATAATGTGTTCATCCCTGCATGCATCACTATTGATATATACATATAGTGTCGAATGCAAGGCTTGTCCGGGGTGGGCACGTGCCTATCTGGAATCCGATTTGTTTGTATTAGTTGTCCGTTTTATTATTAATGTCTATCTTAAAATTTCTTTTGTGTACATTTCATACGAAAAATTTCTATTATAAATATATTTGTATCCACTCCTAATAGTACTTTTAGATCCGTCACTATACATTTGTTACACATTTTATTCGTATGTTACATTTACGTGTATATAAAAATATATATTCATATGCGATAGTCAACTTCATGCACGCATATTTAAGCACTGAAAATAATGCAGATTGTCTTGACTGAATTTGCAAAGGCACAAGGTAAGACAGCTTAATTATTCCTTAAGTTATATTTAACATTTTCATAGTCCAACCATTATACAATGTTCGAGTCTATATTACAATATAGACTCGAACATTATATTTTAATATATCAAAATTACTCTATATTTACGTGTATATTGTTTTCATCATACATTTGTTGGTTAAAACATCATGATTATGGTATTAAAAGTAGTAATCTTTGATGAAGATATACGTAATTTCATGTTGGGGGAAGACGTCTTGTTTAATGCTAGATGTTGAAGGTAACTGGCTAACTGCCCTAGACCAAAAATTATAATTAAATAACCATTTTCCCTTTTTAATACTAAATTATAACCCTAAACTATTACTACATAATTATTACATTGACTTTTTTTCTGTTGTAGACTTTCTTCCAATGAAAAAAATTATTATTTTATTTGTTTAGTCCTTGAAATAACTTTAACATGAACTTGGTAAAATATATGAATTATGATTAAATATTGGTTTCATTAGGCAAAGAAAAGGTAGCTTAATAGTGGATATAAACCTTCAAAGTTTAACCATAAAAATCCCATTCACAACAATCACATCTTCATCACTATCAGTTTCTTATTAATGTTGGCAAAGTTGACTAAAGATAGACGTTGAATTGTTAAATTTTGAAAGAGGAGAGTGTAGTTTTATTATTATATTAAATTATAATTTTAAGGTTTAAGGGTGTCATTGTCCGTGTAGACCTAATTTATCATTTTTGTCACTATCTTATTTTCGCGTCAATTTAACTCTTAAATTTATTTAATTGCATCATTATATATCTTACCTAACTTAAAACCCTAAACCCTAAATCCTAAGTTATAATTAAGAATTTAGGGTTTATAGGGTATGGGGTTATAGTTTCGGGTTTAAAGTTTATAATTTAGTGTTTTAAGTTATGGGTGTGGTATAGAATGATGCAATTGAACAACTCCGAGGGCTAAATTGATGAAAAATAAGATAAGTGTAAAAGTGAAATTGTGTCATTTTAGGAGGGCTGATTCTGACAAAAAATAACCTTTTTCTTAATTTTAAAAAAATTTGGAGAGAGCAAAGTGAAATTGTGTCATTTTAGGAGGGCTGATTCTGACAATATTATAATTTTTTTTCCATTTTCAAACATTAATTAATTTTATATCACGATTTATCAACTTCGTTAATGGAATTAAAATATTAAAAATTTACTTATAATATATTAAATTATTATTATTATTTATATATAGTTTTTTAGAAAGAATTATACATATAGTGAGGTCGGTAAAGTTTAATAACATTAATTAGTCTGCCTAACAATACTTGCTTTTAGCCTTTTGGATTAATGGAATATTAACTAGAAATAAATAAGTATAAATTTTTTAATAGAAACAATAAACATGATAATATTAACAGGAAACTGAAAATTATTTTTTAAAAAATCAATAAACAATAAATTCTATCATAAAATAATTTATTACTTTTTGGTATAGTCACCGATTTTTTATTTATTGATCGATTAATCTGAATCGGGTATCATAGAGGCAAAGGTGACCCTCCCAATCTAATTACTCTATTCACAATTGTCAGAATTCATATCCCTGACTTTACTTAAGAGATCTAGTCCTTCATTCGATTAAACCAACATATTGTTGGTTTATATGACACAAATGAAATTTTAGAAAAATAATTAAAGCATTACATAAAAAACATGAGCATGCAAGACAAATAATAAATTTATCAAATTAATCTACACAAATGAATTATAAAAATGTTAAAATTCGTATAAATATTAATTAAAAACACATAACGGTACCTTATCCTTAAGTTGAGTAGTTAAATTGAAAACTTTTAAACTTTAGTACCAAAATAGGAGTGAGAATATAGTTAGTTGATGAATGATATAATTTACCCATAAAATGCAGTGTCGTTAAGTTCTTAACAACGAGGTACTAACATGAAATAAAAACTAACGTTATGTATGCTTTTGAAAAATTAAAAGTTTAGGTACCAAAACATACCAAAATTGATCATTTAGATACCAAACGCGCAATTTACCCAAAAAAATTAATGCAAATATACAAAAATCTCCTCTCTTTTCTCTTTCTTGGTCTTTGTTTCTCTTAAAAAAATAGCATGAAATACCTTGATTGTCCTTCACATGTTTGCGTGTGTGTTTTATCTTGAAGTTTTTTTATGGTAAACTCTTGGGTTTGAACCATTTTTTATTTTATCAGAAGTTTTCAATGACAAATTAATTTTCTTTTCAGTTGAGTTTTTGTATTATTTCCTGTTTATGTTTGTTCTAAACATAACATTTTTAATTTTAGTCATTTATTTTTATTTTTAATCTTATTATTAACGCGATGTTTCAAGATTTATTAGTATATAATTATATGTAATTTTACTTCTTAAATCATGATTTTATACACTAATAATTTATTATGTTAAAAATGTAATTTGTTGCCGGGGAAATTATTATAGTTGGAATGTTGGACAATTAGTTCTTTAATAACATTCAAGTCTGCCAATCTGTTTTATTAATAGCTTGTTTGGTGGGAAAAAGGACGAAATTTCAATAAAAAATAATGTTGAGGTCAAAAACGAACTAGTCTGGCCAACATGTTCTACCTACCAAAGTCCCCTTTTTTTAATCAAATAATATTAAAAAATAACTATTATTTGTTTCAAAGATGAGAATAAAAATTCAGGGTAACGGGGTTGTAACTGAATTTGATGGTTTATGTATATGTTAATTGTATTTAACTACTTTTTTTGTAACGAATAAAGTGGACTCCGTAGTAAAAGAATTGTTGTTATTCTTGAGGATTCAGGTTCGAGCAGCATATATATTAGGGGTGTGAGCGTTCAATATTAAAAAGTTGAGAGTTATATTCGAACATATATTGTCTTGTAGTTACCCCCAGATTATTAAAAAAATGATCGAGTTAACTAAACATGTTCGATCGATTGGTCGTCTTTGCTTTCTCATATTCTCTTAGGTTATAAGATTCTAGACTCACTAATAGCACTCTCGTTCACTTCTTTAGAATCATTTTCTTCCCATCTCCTCTAAATGGGATTATGATTATATTTAGATTTTATCAAAAGAAATTATCGAGTTTTTAAAGTATTTATATATGTCAATTGCATCACATGCCTCAAAGTACGATTTTCATTTCAAATTGGTCTCTAAAGTTTTAAATATTTTAATTTCATCCCTAAACTATGAATATCATTTTAAATTATTCTTCAAACTTTTGAACATTTCAATTTCATCCCCAAACTATACCTTCTTTCTAAATTGATCCCCAATTTTTTTTTAGCATTCTAGTTTCAGCTCAAAATATGTATATACACTAATCACATCACTTGTTAATAAAATTGTAAGGCCAATTATATTAGAATATGTTTGAACAAAAAATTTGGTTAACTATGTTTGAAACTATTTACATATTTGGATGAATTTGGGGATGAAATTGGAAGGTTCAAAAGTTTAGGGACTAATTTAGAAAGAAGGTTATATTTTAGGGATGAAATTAGAATGTTAAAAAATAAAGAAAAATGGTTATTTAACCCAATTACAATCAACATGCTTGTGTAGCTCTAACTGATCAATAAAATCGGAAAACAACCCAATAGAATAGGCCTAACTAACTAACAACCTAAAATATATTCAATTGCTAATAACAAACTCGTAACGAATTCCAGGAAGTGGAAATAATTTTTTAATAAAAAATAAATCTAAAATCTAAAATATATAATAATTTTAAGTTCTAGGGTCGACTGTTCTACCCAAACGGGTAAACAAAAGCTAAATAATTACCATTTCTTGTATTGTCCTAAGGGTGCGTTTGGTTCACGGAATGTAAGATTACCAGTGGGAATAAAAGATTACCAGGGAATAGGATTACTGGGAATGTTGTATTTTGTGTTTGGTTGGTTTAGTAGGAATGTAAGATTACCGTGTTTGGTTAAATGAATAAAAGATTATTGGAATGTATATTTGACCAAATTATACTTATTATATATTTGTATAATATTACAAATTGTAAAAATATTTATATATATTCTTTAAAAAATTAAATTCATAATATTTATATAATTTTTTTATAAAATTAAAAATATAAAAAATGTTTAATGAAAGGGTAAAAATTTGTTTAACCCCTGAACTTCATATAAAATTTTAATTATAGATTTTTTTTGTAAATCTAAAATAATTTAAGGATAAATTTGTAATTTAACATTCGTAGAATTTTTATTATTCAATGACAGAAGAATAATATTTTTGAAAAAAAATAAAAATTTAAGGGTATTTTAGTCCAAAACGCCGGTAATGTTACAATACCTAAGGGAAGGGAGGTAATGACATTCCCGGTAATATACCCCAAAAAATCTACTATTGATAATAAAACATTACCGGGAATGAGATTCCCAGCCAACCAAACATGGGAATGTGGGATTCCCATGCTATGGGAATCCCACAATCCTTGAACCAAACACCCCCTAAAGGTTACGTGGTTGTCAATGTATCCTTGACGAGGTTCGAGACTTGGTAGCTCTGAACTATATTGAACCCCAATATCATATCAAAAGCTAAATAATTATGTGTACATGAAGACACAATCATGCTCTATGCCAACTCATAACATCAACTAACCTCAAATTGAAGATATGATGAACAATAGACACTTGCATGATAATTTATATATAAACTTTACTGTTGATATCAAGTCTAAAATAATAACAATTATTTATGGATAATCACGTAATATGTCGGTAATCACGTCAATAGATTGCAACTGATCAGGCATATAAAGTTCTCAAAATTTTCAGAAATTTTAAAGGTCTCAAAGCTCGGTAATATGAGGAATGATAACAAAGGTGTGATTTCGAAAAGAAATATTAAAATTTAGTCGAGCATCCTTGTACAACCAGGCCCAATACCGGAATCAAGCAAGTCACTGTCGGAGACCGACAAACAAGCACCATGTGAGAGCCACAGGGAGCCGAGGTTGTCGGTTCAATGAAGTATCACGGCGAGTCCAAATTAGCCCAAAAACCAAGACCAATACCAGATAAAATCAACCTTCCTACAATCTCTCTTCCTTTTCATATTCTTTTAATGTGAAATCATCGTTTCCAAGGGGCAAAAAGAAAGTACATCAACATTGGTAGTCTAAGTCGCGTTTTCTAGTTCATACTATAATATCCTTCAATTGAACAAAGCAGCTAACAGGAACGTTATTGTTGTTGCTGTTTCCTTTGTCTCGAATGACACCGCCGCTGCCGGTGGCGGTGTTGTTCACCTTGTTGAAGTGATACACGTTGTACGTCGTTTGTTCCAGTGTCCCTTCCCTGTACACAAACACGCCGTCGTCTTCCTCCATGCACCGCCATTTCCGGGTCCGGTCGTGGCTCCGGTTCAGCGGCATTCCCCTGTTCCCACCCCCCAAAAAAATCAGTGAAAACTATTAGTTTAATACAAAGTCATGGAGCTCAAGAAACATTAACCTAATATAATATCCAGGACTCTGCATGAATTTGCCTGTTGAGATGCTTCAATAAAAGCCTGCTAAAACTATTAAACAAATCCCCAAGGGTCACACACATGCACTGCACTGCACACCTCTTTCAGACTGAAAAAAACTATATGATATACATCAACCCTCTTGCATTTATTTAATTTTCATTTAACAAGTTTGAAACTTGCTCACAAAGAAACGTATTTACTTATATTATCCAGAATTCTCATTTTCTCTATGTTTATATCAACCGTTAAGTGATCAAAATCGAATATAAACGTGATTAAAGAAATATTATTCTATATAGAAGTTTAAGATTCGATCAACTACATATACAAAGTATGTACCGGTTATAATAATTAAGAGAAAATCTGGATAGATACTACCTTATATAAGTTATAATCACCGCTGTAATCGTCATACTAATCCGGAAAATTTTTCCTTTAAAACAAATTATAAATTAAGAATTGAATAGGTCAAATACATTTTAGGCTCAAGTGGAATGAATTCACAAAACGCAGTAAATGTGGAACAAATGATTTAAACATTCTGTTGTGGACATATTTGATATTCCAAGAATCCAGATTAACAGAAAAGAGAAACGGATTGGCTGTTTGGTTGAAGAGAAAGAGAGAGGGAAAACAATGAGGTACCTAACGTGGAAGAGTTCAGAAATGTCGCACATGTCGAGATAAAAGTTAACGGCGTCGAGGAAAGCACGGTAGGTGTAAATGTGGAGCCCATCGATCCTGGGGTAAGGCAACCTCGGTCTAGGCGGCTGTTCACAGCCACCACCACCCGGCGTTGCACCGAAGCAAGTCGAAGACTTGGACCGCCACGAACCACCGGGGGACGCCGCCATGTAGACGTACTCCTTCCAGGCGACGGCGGAAGAACTTCCCTGGATCGGCGGAAGGCCGACGAAGCCCATGGTAGCCATGATGGGGTCGAGCTCGTCGTGGGTCATTAGGGGTTTGAAGGTTTTTGTGTACCAAAGGGCGAGCTTTCTCATGCTGAGTCTCATGCAGTCCTCCATTAAAACTGGGATTTCCTTTCTTCCTGGGAAAATATTTTCTTTTTCTTTCGGGAAAGATTTGATTGCTTTTTATAGAGGAAAGATGGGAAAATATTTGTCATGGCACCATGATTTTTGGGACCGCATCCACTGCATCATAAAACAATATATAAATCATTATAATCAAGATATTTTAAGAAAACTAATTATAATTAAGATGGATCCAAGATAATAACAGTATTATATTACATACACGTATTACAAGATTTTATGAGAGTATGTATCACAGATTAATTAAATATTAATTTGATTGAAATATAATAAAATATTTTTCTAAATGAAATATTAAATTGATTAAGATTTGAACATAAAATTATAAAAATATATTATCTTTAAATCACCTTAAACTATTTTAAAAAAAATTAAACATAAATGTTGAATTATTCACTGGTCTAATTATAAATTTCATCCTTCTATTTTCTTTTTTTATAATTAAGAAGCAAGTTGTATCATAACTTAATTCTCGCATTTTTTTTTTGAAATTGAGAAATTTATCCAGTTATAGGTAAACACATAACATTAAACAATTGATTTCTGTTCATTTCTTACGTATAAATTAGGGACGGATATAGATCGGATCAAATTTTTAGTTGACTCAAATTTAATTTGATCATTTTACCATTTCATTTGATTCAACACAGATTTAGAAAGACTTCATTTAACTCGAAACCCAATATGATTTTTACGTAAAAATACTCACATGACTCGACCTGACATATATATATTACATAATATCAAAATTTTCCCCCATCATTGACCTAAATGGTCACTTTGACTTTTATTTTTATGGAGTATTTTAGCCCTCGATAATTCAATTATTTATCAAAATATCCCATGTTGAATGAAAACTGTTAGCTAACTAATAATCAACACATGTTATTGATGTGTCATTTACACATGAGCTAAATTAATTACGTATAGCATGTCATATCATCATCTTAGATGACATAACACATATCACGCCATTATCTTGGGAGACATGACATGATATATCAATAATTTAGCACATGTAAAAAATTATACATCAGCAATATGAGTTGATTACTAATTAACTAACGGTTTCTATCCGACATGGGCTATTTTGACAACAAAAAAAAAATGAATCATTGAGGGTTAAAGTGATAAAAAAAATTTGAATATGAGTTAAAGTGGTTGTTCGGATAAACGTTGAAGACTAATTTTGATATTATTTCTTTTTTTTAGGTAAAAAATAGAAATTTAATTGAAAAAAATAAAGAGAGAATAGTACTATTACAACTATCTTTAAATATAAGGGATAACCATGTTATTTTTCAGATTATGTATTTTTATTCTAAACTCAAATTTGATATGATTATTAAAAAAATCGACCTAACTCAACTTGAATCTTTTTTTCTAAAAAATATACCTTACAAGATCGGGTTAGAACTTATCGAGTCTAGGTGACTCTAATACACATCCCAAAATGGTGTCTTTACATGTCGGTTGTTCCCGATGAGGAGATTGCTCGCTTTGCTTGTGCTCACAAGCTTGCTTGATTGCTTCCTCTAATGTCTACAAATATGAATGGATCGAGTCTCTTTGAAAATTTAAAATTATTATATATTTTAAGTTTTGTATGTATTTTTATTAAAATCTATTTTTGATTCTAAAATTTTATAATTTTATTTCTTCTTAAAATTTTGGAAATTTACTTCTTAACATAAAATTTTATCTTCTGTTGTTGGGTGGAGGTGCATCTTACTTGAATTTTACTTTGATCTCGATCCCTTTAAAAAAATAAATAAATAAAAATCTATCATGAACATATATATTTTTTAAAAATTAATCTTATAAAATTAAATCGAATAAAAACTCATTGAGTTTGGAAAATTTTCATCGAGTTGGCTTAATTATAAAATAAGTGCCAAATTTATACCACTTATTCTAAATAGGTGCTCAAACTTCTTTTTGAATCATCTAAATACCTAATATTACAAACGTTATCATTTTAGGTGCTTGGACCATAATGACCATTAAAAAAATCTTGTTAAGTGGCGCATTTTAAGCTCTGGTAATTTTGAAAAAAAATTAAAAAAATTAAAAATTTAGTATCTTTGTAAAAAAACCATATTTTTCTTAAATTAAAAAAAACCCAAATCCCTAAAAATTCAAAACCCTAACCCTAATATTTTTATTGGTCATGGCCACCGTCGACGAGGTCCCCCTTAACATCTCCCTGATCTGACGTTGTCTCCCTTACTGTCGTACGTGTCGTTGGATCGTTTGGGTGTCACAAATTTAAGGGTTTGATTTCGTCGGAGACGTGGTTTTGAGTCATAATTTTATCATTTTCTTCATCGGAGACACGACGTGTGTGGTCAGTTTTGGCTTGTCGTAGGGTGGAGGTTTGATTGATGTCAAACAATGACGATTGGCGCGTGTTTAGGGATTGAAATTAGAGTTTTCATAGATTTGAGGTTCTTTTTAAAGTTTTTTTTAGGTTTTTTAATATATAATTTTAATTTTTTTTTATTTTAAATATTTTTTTTAAAATTACCATAACATGAAACGTGTTTCGTTACGGCCGAGGCACCTAAAGTGGTAAGTTGTTAACGTTAGACATCTGGATGATTCAAAAAAGTTTGGGCAGCTATTTAGGACAAGTGGTATAGTTTGTGCACTTATTCTACAATTAAGCCTTTAAAGTTTGGTTCCTATTGGGGATGTCTTGTGTAATTAACCCTTTTTTCCATCGCAAAAAAAAAGGAAGAACGCAGCGTTTTCAAGGTCATCAACGGTGGGCTGAAATGAGATGAGGCCCCAACGTGGGCCTGAACCATAAAAGAAACAAAAGTTTAGGACTTGGTTTCTTCCTAGTTCACGCAAATTATTTCATCTTCATTACCAAATACCTTGATTCGGTGAAATACCTTTTCTTATTCCCCTGTTTTTTTTTTTAAAAATAAACTTATTCCTCTGTTGTTTCTCCTTTATTGGGTATTGGGTTCTATCGATTCATTATTCACAAGAGAAAAAAATGGAAAGTATCCGTTGAAAATCATGGGAACAAGGGGCTTCCGTTCGATGACCGATCAACCCAACTGAAAACTGATTTGGGAGTAACTAACAGTTGTCCGGTTTCACTAGAATTTTCACGAAGATGTCGCTGAGAATTAAGGCGGTGGTGGATAAGTTCGTGGAGGAGCTGAAAGAGGCTTTGGAAGCCGATATACAAGACAGAATAATGAAGGAGAGAGAGATGCAAAGTTACATCGAGGAACGCGAGCGTGAAGTCGCCGAGCGTGAAGCCGCATGGAAGGCCGAGCTCTCTCGCCGCGAGGTCTGCTTTCTTTTTCCTTTCCATATTTTAAAAAACGGGAAAATTTAGTTGATTGATTTTTTTTTGTTAATTGGCATCAAAATAGTCGCTTGATTACCCTGCGTTATACAACTGTTTTTATGCTTTTCCATTGTTCATATAAATATGCAGATTGAAGACGGTCTTTGATGATTGGGTGTTTTTCATTTATCTTGAATTTGGGGTTCTGAATAATTGGTTTTTATTGTTTTAATTCGTTAATTCTTAACGAGTCGCTAATTTACTCAAAATCTTGGCTTATTATGTTGATTAAGTGAGGTTGATAGTCATAGGCATCCCCATCCCATGCCTTGCAAGTATTGGAATGTAGAAATGGGTATATTCTTATATGTTGGTATACTGTATACGCTGTAAATTGCATGAACCATTTACCCCTTTCCATGCTTTTAATTTGTTACTTTGGCTAATCAATTTTTTTGACACCCGGTACCCGCGCCCGATGTATGACATAGATACGAGGATACAATCCATTAAAAACCTTCCAAATATACTAGTGCCGGGCGAATACTCGCATTCGACACTGGTACTTGAGTCGAGTATCATAGCTCCTTTCTCAAGTTGCTCATTGCTAAATTATTCATGAATGATCTCCATCCCCAAGGCTAGAACCCAACATCTTGCTTAAGGGGCATTTAGCTCCTCACCACTCTACCCAACAAGCATTGGTGATTAGTTCAGATTCATGGCGTGGTAAAGAGAATTCCAATTTGACCTTCAAAATAAAGAAAGAGAATTCCTATCTGGAATTTCTCATGGTTCGATATTTTGTATGTTCATGAATGATTTAAAGTATTGTGATTTAGGTAAAGATAATTCAAACCCAAACTTGTCGTGGTTCGATTATCTGTATGTGTATAGTCATTGGTGAGGCTATTCCTTGTATGTTTAGCATGCATATGAATGATGTAAACTCTGTATTTGACTTGAGCATAATGGCATTATGAAAAGTTCTTCATACTTGTATGCTTGGTGTTCTCTTGTTGTTGCTCGACTAGTTTTTGTTATTCGGAATACAACTCTTATCTTCCAGGCAGAGATTGCCCGACAAGAGGCTAGGCTGAAGGTGGAAAAGGAAAACCTCGAAAAAGAGAAAAGTGTTCTAATGGGAACAGCATCTAGTCAAGATAACCAAGATGGGGCACTGGAAATCACTGTAAGTGGCGAAAAGTACCGATGCCTCAGGTTCGCAAAGGCAAAGAAATGAGGCTTGTATGAAGAAGATGAAGAAGCTTTGATGTCTTTTCCTAGATTTGTTGCAGCCAGGTTGCCTTTTTTAGAACCTTATTCATTTTATATGCATTGATTATTATATACATATGTAGGTTTGCTTTCGGACACATCCTATTGACAGTTTCAAGTATATGATATTCCATTTTCAATGATGAAAAGCAAAATCAAAAGTTGCTTCTGTTCAACCAAAATAAACAAGGTTGCCATCATTTTAACATTTCTTCCCCGATGATTCTTATGATTAAAGTCCCGAACAACAACAACCTACGAAGTATTGTTCGCTTTGGCCCATCGGGGGTCACAGTTTGTAGATGAAGTTTGAGTGGTAGATTTGGTGCCGGAGCCGACGGACTGCCTGGTGACACCAGAAGTTGGCTGGTTTCTTGGAGGAAGGCTATACGATTGCGTCTTCAAATACAAGGTTCGGTTTGATAACTCTGCCTGCACTTCTCAATATTCAACTTGTTAATCATTCAATACAACATAGTTTCAGCTCTTATTGTTATGGCCTAGAAAACTTAGTTTGAACATCGAAAACTCGAGCTTGGTCGGTAATGAATAATGATGTCTCAAAACTAGTTACATGGGGTTGGTTTTTAGTCTATGCATGTAGAGCTTGGATGCTGATCATCTCTTACTATGAATCATGTATAAGACTAACTAGTGGCTTTTTCTTTAACAATTTTACAAGTTCGTGTGACCGATTTTTCTTTTTCTTTTTGGTTGTTGCATATTTTAACTATTGAAGTTTGATTTGCATAATCTTTGTGCATGGAGTTGTAGATATACTGATCCAATGTTAATTGAATAATGATTGAAATGATTGTACATTGTTTTGATTAGGATGGCTTATAAGTTATGGATTGATTAACAGTTTCATATAAAATACAACGTCTTTCATTTCTTTGTTATACCAACTCATTTGATAAATATTTCAAAACCCAAATAGTACCAAAAAATAGGGTAAGTTATGCATTTAGTACCTAAACTATCGATTTCGGTTCATTTTAATACTTAAATTTTCAGTTTTTTTTTTTAATTTTACATGAAGTTTAAGTTTTTATTTCATTTTAGCACATGTCTTTAAAAACTTAACGCGTTTAGTACCTAAACTATCAGTTTTAATGTTTTAATATTTAAACTTTCAAAAAAAAAATCAAAACTTAACGTTAAATTTTGAACGGTGATATTAAAATGAAATAGAAATTAAACTTTATATATGATTTTGTAAAAATTAAAAGTTTAAGTATTATACGGATCAAAATTGATAGTTTAAATATTAAATGTAGAATTTACCTTAACAAGAGATATATATATTTTTTACAAAATTCAATTAAACCACTAGTGCGTGGTTGTAAAAGATATATGATAATGTCACGTCTTTATTTGATAATTTTTTTCGAATTAAAATTCTGAATAATTTCATGACATTCAATGAAAGTGTGAAATTTTTGAATTGGTCCTTTTATTTTTTTTAATTTCTCTAGATCGATAACAATTATCATGACGTACGATAATTTTACTCAAAATTAATATAAGATAAAAGACATTTTCCTTAACTTTTGTCTAATTTTTCTAAATAATTCTTTAACATCCTTATTTTTCCTTCTTTTCCTTTTGGCGAAAAGGCATTATGTCTTTATGATGTGATTCTTGTGTTATTTTCTCTTAATGTGATCCTCCAATTTAGAAAATCAATTTATTGTGATCCTTTGATCAACTTTTTTCGTCGTTGATTGTCACGATGTTGATATGGCAGTTAATGGTGGTGTTGTGGTAATTCACGATACTGACGTGGTAGTCTTTTTATCATATTTGAGTTACTAATTTAACTCATTTTTTGTGTTATCCATCACGTTATCAATCACGTGAACTGTCACGTAAGCATTGTGGACACTCATGTTAGCACCGTAACGATCAACCATGAAAAATATTGGTCAAGGGTCCATTGAATTTATTTTCTGAGTTTGAGGATCATATTGAGAAAAAATTGAGGATCATATTGAGAAAAATAATACGAGGGTCTCATTAGTTTTTTTTTTAAATTACAGTGACCTCAAATGCATTTTTACCTCTTCTTTTTCATTTTTCTCACAATTTGCCTAATAAGCCAAGCAACCACACCAATTTTGAACGCTAAATGTGGTGCTCCCACGTCTATAGCCGCGCCAATTCATTTCCACCCTGTTTCTTATCTGTCCTTACGTCGCCAATTCATTTACCTACTCAATCCCTGTACTTTCACACATTTAAAATTTAGTCACTCTATTATTAATTTTAGAAACTTCATCTCCATACTCTTTTTTTATTTTACAATTAAGTCCGAAACTACTAAAAGACTCTAATTAAATTAGTTTTTGTGATTTTTTTTTAAATGCAACACCGGGTCGAATCATTTTCACTTTATTACATTGCTCTGAATTATTGTATTGTACTAACTATACACATAATGTGCATCATCTCATGTGAATAGACGGTGTATCTACCTTGATTACTGATTAATCACCATCTAATTTCACAACTTAATTTACCACAAAAAATAAGTAATTTTTCGTTTAAAATAGATGTATAATGTTTTATCTGTTATATTTGCAAGTATTTACCGTTAAGAAACTGTTAACTGACACATGTCACATTCAGATTTTTAAATAATATTTTATTTAAAATAAAAATATAAACGTGACATGTGTTAATTAACAGCTTTTTAACGGTAGACACCTAAAAGTGTAACGAAGAAAACATTAAACACATATTTTTAACGAAAAAAATCTTTAGACGTCAAAAGTCAATTTGAGGTGTAGTTTAAACACATAAAAGTATATTAAGCCAAATTTTATAGTCATTTTATTCAAATATTTCTTTATATATTTTTGATTGATGATCCAATTTCACACTTCAAAATCTTAAATTTATACCATTAAATTTTTAATATAATTTTTTATATTTATTAGGGTAAACTACTTTGAATACCATCAAACTTTAGATATTGTATCGTTTATACCACTGAACTTTTAATTTTGTCAGTTATAGCACTAAACTTTACTTTTTATTTCAATTGTGCCACTGGACTGTAAAATCATTAACAATCGGATCAAAACGACGTCGTTTTAGTGAGGTGTCTACATCAACAATCGTCAACCATGTCATCATACCATTAATGATTTAACGATTCAGTGGTATAATTGAAACAAAAATAAAAGTTCAGTATTATACTAGATAAAATTAAAAGTTCAGTGGTATTTAATGTAATATACCCTATTTTATTAATATAAAATTCTATATTGGCCCCTGATTCGACCCTGGTCTAGCTAATATAACGGTCACCACCAACTTCTACAGTTTATCTTTCCCTTAGAAAAAGAGAATAAAAGCAGGCTGTGAACACCAACATTTCACCTCTTTCTCTTCTTCTACTTCTCTACTTTCCCTTAGCAGCGACGCCACCATTATCAGCCGTCGTTAAATCTCTTTAAACCATTTTATTTTCCTGCCATTAGACCAGCCATGAGCTCCATTATTCAAAGCTTCCAAAAGAATACCGCACTCCCCGTATCGCAAACCGAATCCAAAGACCACCCAGGGCGGCTACGACGGCGGCTCTCCGCTCTATCCCTCAAATTACAGCCCACCTCTTCGCCGGATGCGAAATCATGGACATTCCCCCGGTCAAAATCCCTGTCTTCCGTGGGAGAGTACGCCGGCAGCTCGATCAGAAACTGGTGGAACCGGGGCTGGTCCTGGGTTCTCTCCAAAAAACCCATTTTCACTAAAGACATCGAGATGAACGAGGAAGAAACCAGGATCCTTGGGTGCCATAACAAAGGCAGTTGGAGGCACTTCTTTTATAAACTCAGATCTGAGGTCAGAAAACTCGTGGGATCTCGTCATAAAACTGGCCTCCCACAAACGTACAGGTACAATCCTTCAGATTACTCCAAGAATTTCGATGACGGAAAGAGTTACACCTATGGTTGAGTCTTGACGAATTTGAATTCCACCGTCAATAAAGCTTCATTGCTTCAAGATTTTCGGATCAAAGACGCTGTAGAATTATGGGTTTTGTATTTGTTCTTTCTTGGGTTTAAGCTTTCATTAATTTGGATTTTGCTTGGAAACATCTATTAGCTACAAAAAAAAATATCGTCACTATAAGCTTTTCTCCAGCAGGATTGAATTGTATAAATATTGTTACATAAATCTAGTTTCTGGGTTTGTATGAGATTTTGAATTTGCCAATATTTACTGTTACTAATTTGTTACGGAGGTGTAGTTTTTAGAGTTACACGAACATATTGTATCTCTTTCTCTGTAAACGTCGGTGCAAATGTTGCATAATTATCGTTGTGGTCTCAATCAATAATATTTAACAATTTAATTTATTTTAAAGTAGGTCTTCATCTTTTTCGTACGTCTTAGTTTTTTCCCATTCAAAGTGGAGTTTCACCTCTTTCGTACGTCTAAATAAAGAATAAATAACTATTTGTAAATTATTTTAAATTGATGAATTTCATTAATAAAACTACGGATGATATAATAAGCTCGATTCATAAAATAATTTCTAGTAAGGAAGGTAAAGGGTAAACTACCCTATAGTTACTTAATTATGGGTATATTAGTTAACAAAAGAAGTACTCTTTTTAAATGTTATAAATAAATTATTTATTTAAAATTATTATTACAAATAAGTCATTATATTTGTAAAATTAATATATATATATATATATATGAATCAAGTTATCTCAATGGCTAAAGGAATGAATATTGTTTTTAAGGGTCTTGAGTTCGAGTACCAGTATTTGCATATGTGTTTAAGCGTTTCCGTCAAATTATTTAATACATATATTATCTTGTAATAATTTCACTTTAATAAAAAAAGTTATATATTAACATTTTTAGCCTCTAAAACTTAGACAATCTATCAATTCTGCTCTATTTCGAAATAATTCAATAAATTTAATCTTTTTATATTTAAAAAATTTATTAATAATCATTTTTACGATACTGTCGAATCAAATAAACCTATTAAATCAAAGCAAGAATTAGATAACTATATATTATTATAAAGTATCAACAAATTATTATTAAACATTTTTTGACAAATTTTGTTAAACATTTATTATGTCATGAAAGTAACATAAAAATATTATCAAACTTTTGAAAGAAAGAACAAAGATAAAATTATAGTATATATAATAAAAATACAATTAAGACCTTT